ATCCCGGAGAGAGGTGTGATAGAGCATGATAGGCTGATCATCATGTCCTGGGATTTTGATAATTGACTGTACCCCCAATAGCTCATGAATAACCTCCTCATGCTGAAGATTGAGGAGGGAACTGAGAAAAGAGATAGATCGGTTGTCCTCCAGGATCATGATTGTTCCAAGAATCTGATGAAGAGCTGCTGTCCCAGAAGCAGAGAAGAGAACTTGTTTATAGAGTGGATCCAGACCATTAGCTCCAGATTCCAAAAGTTGTTGCACAGCTTTGTGTGGCATGGAAGCTCCTCCAACATATTGGATCAATGTTGTGGCAAATGCAAATGAACTGCCAGCCTGATTTAGAAGTACAGCAAGGTCTTCAACAGATGGCCAGGGCTTTGATAGCCTCTGCATCTTTCGAATATTCTGGTCATAGATGCAACCAAACTCCTTCTCAAAATATACTTGGATATCCAGACAAGCATCATAAGTTGCCAAGTCCAGATGGTATAAAACTGACTGGGCACCAGGATCATTGAACCTTTTCTGAATATGTTCCTCCACCCTGCTGGTGAGAAGGACTTGGAAAGGAAGACAACTTTTGCCCGAAGATGCATTGATCAAAACATCAATGAAGGCTGCCATCTCAGCCTTGTCATCACATTCATCAAGAGCATCAATAACAAGAATCCTTCGCTTCGCAAAAAGAGAAAAGGTTTTAACGCGAGAAAGGATTTCGAACGTGGTGGAATGAGTTGGATCTATAATTAACTTCTGAAATTGACGAGCAAGAGAGACAGAGGGCTCAAGCAAGGCAGGCTCATCGCGAAGAGCTGTCTCAAGTGATGGCTTTGCAGCAGGAAAGGAAAGGGAGATCTGATGGGCAAGGGTAGGTATCAGGCGAGATATGTGGCTACGTTCACCAGCGCCTCGAAGAAAGAAGAAGCTCCCTAGAAGGCGGCCCTTTGCGGCATAGTGCTCCGCAATGGTTTGAGCCACTGCCGACTTGCCATAGCCAGCTGGTCCGTTGAGCCAGCAGACAGGAGCTCGGTTGTCAGAATCATTGAGCCACTCCTTGATCTGATTGATAACCTCTAGGCGGGTACCGGGATCACATCGAGCAACATGACCCGCGCGAGTATGGGTGGCGTTGCTGACAGGCTTAAGCAAGCCTGGGAGACCTAGATGCAATGAACCATTTGATAGTATTGGCGAATTTAAATGAAACCTGACATACCTGGAGGATGGGCCGGATAGCCATTAAAAACGATGTTGCCGCCGGCGTTATTGACCTGTGCGCTTCCAGAGATGGTGGCTCCGATAGAGTTTGGCAGGAATGCGGTTGATGATGAAGGTTCCATGAGTGAAATGGCGTGTTGTAATATGAACACTAGAAAAGTTGGGAGGGCTCAAGACGTCGATAGGTCGGATCGTCGTGGTCGATGAACAAGAGATAAATTGTGGGAATTGGTTGTCGGAATTCTAATTGGGCGACGCAACAGAGCCCCCGCGAGAATTCACTTCGAAACGATGGGCAAGAAGCCTGACCGGAACAGAGCACTCACGCAAAATATCTGTCTCTATTGAACCTATATCCGAGCCTCACTCAGTAGCAGCCGTCCAATCCCCTCCCACCTGCCTCTCTGTCTTCTCGTCAAAAATTTTCTCCTTCCTCAACGCAAAGCATGCGAGAAGAAGGCGAAGTACCATCCAAAACTACTCCTTACCCCTACCTTAGGACAAGAATGCTTCCAAGGAGCACCTATAGTCGTCGTCGTCTCTAAATCCCTCGAAGCTGACGTGCTCGACCATCCATCAGGCACCCTTCACGTCCGAAGACATCCTTGTCGTGCACTGTTCACCACAAAGCGTATCTCGCGTCCGACCAGCCTCAAGATGCTCCTCCACTCCAGTACGTTTCCTCACGCGTGCATTGTTCTGTTTCTTGACTCATACAACTATAACAGGACACACCTCCCCCATATTATGCGCCTCACTCTCACCCACCGGTAACCTCCTCGCAACAGGTTCAGGAGGGACCAACGTGCGTTTGTGGGACCTCAACACAGAGACTCCCTCACATGTTCTGTCAGGCCATGGTGGGTTTTATGTTGAGTGGGAAGCTGGGGAACGGAAGTTGACTAGTGGGGGACATGACGGACATGTGGGTCTGTTCCTTGACGCGTCGTTGGACCCGCTAATTAACACTCGTCTTAAGTAAGGATATGGGATCTAAAAACGGGCAAACCGATCCGGAACGCGTTGAAAGGCCACACGAAATGGATAACGTCGCTCTCTTGGGAACCCATTCACCTGTGAGTTGCCTTCTTACCCTCTTACTCAAACACCAGCTGAGTTCGACAGAAGTAACGCTACTTCCCCCCGCCTCGCATCATCCTCCAAAGACGACACCATCCGCGTATGGTCCCTCCTAACTCGACGCGCAGAGCTCACTCTGGGCGGACACACTGCCAGCGTGAACGTCGTTAAATGTGGTGGGGCTGACGTGCTATACCGCCGGCAGCGATCGAACGGTCAGAGTATGGGATACGAAACAAGGAAAACCAATGCACACACTCAAAGACCACGCGCATTGGGTGACCACCATCGCTCTGAATATGAATTTCGACTTATGTACGGGTCCGTCCGACCAGACAGGCAAGAAACCCGCCTCCAACGAAGACGGTCAGTCTCCCTCTCTATCAAGCAAACAAGTCCACTAACCCCACCCTTCCCTATACAGCCCCAAACCTCGCACAACCGCGGTACACGGCCTTCCTCCTCACTTCCCCAACCGAACTGCTCATTTCCCGCTCAGACGACCACACCCTCTTCCTTTGGTCCCCTCCACCAAACCCATCGCCCGACTAACGGCCACCAGCGCCAAGTCTCCCACGTCGCTTTTCCCCAGACGGACAGTGGGCAGCGTCAGCTGCTTGGAATAACAGCGTACACATATGAGAGGACCGGACGGTCGCTACGCTTCGAGGCCATGTAGGCGCTGTGTACCAGCTTGCGTGGAGTTCTGATAGTCGGTTGTTGACTAGTGATAGTAAGGATAGTACGCTCCCCCCTTTCGTGGAATTGACTGGAGTTTTCTGATGATGGATTTTTGGGGATATGGGATATGAAGACGTAAGATCAAGACCGACCTTCCGGGACACACAGACGAGATGTATTGTGTGGACTTTGTCTGGATGCAAAGTAGCACATTTTCGTTACGACTGGGGTGATTAAATTGAAGTTTTGAACGTTGATAGATGCAAGATAGAAATATATATGCAATAAAAAAAAAGGCTAGTCATATACATGTTGCTTAATTGTTTTCCATAGTAAGAGTGAAGTATAATATCTAGAGAGTCCCGATGATGATGATGAATGATGCGGGAAGAAAGAAAAAAGGATCGCAAGAAGGCATGGTCATGACCGTGAAGTCTCAACAGCAGCCACAAGCCTCATCGACCACACCAAGCGCACATGCATCCGCCCACAATCCGTGGATAAGCCCCATATGCCGTTGGAGCGCGACTTTATCAAGTGGTGATGTAGAGGAGGGGAAAAGCACATTGCTCAAATTCTCCGCATTCTTCGTATAAAGATACGATTGCAGCAAGGGGAACGCCGCAGGGGCCGGCAAGCAAAGGGGTACAACGGCAACAGTCGCACTCGTCCCAGATGTGTGTGTAGCCGAGGACGCAGGGAGTGCAGGGAGGTTCGCACCATGCGCCGCGAGGACGAGCTGGTGTGTAGGGAACAATGTGACTTTGCGTGGGGATGTGGTTGTTGTTGTTGGTCGGGAGGAATAGACGGCGAGCATGTGTGTTGGGCATACACCTGCTGGGTTGGAGATGGATACGTCCATCTCGTTTGGGAGTAAGGATTTGGGTGCTTGTGCCTTTAGGCTTGATAGACCCGCGAGCATTCTATGAAGAAAGTATATTAGAATCAAAGACGTAAGTAAGGAAAAAGGAGAAAACTCATTCAGAAGCGAACAAGGAAAGCCGTTCACGAACGTATTCGGGTGTAACACCCTTCAACTCTGGGTCCACCAAAGCCATCTCGACTTCGTGCATTTGGGGAGTGAGGAGTGTGCGAGGGAGCTGCAGTGTCCGAAGGGGACTGTCAGTTTCAGCGCCGTTGATGATGGCGGGTTTGGGAGCAAGCGGGACACGTGAGGCCCTCATCAAGCGAGCTTTCCTGGCGCTGCAGTGCTTGGTAAAGAGTCTTTGCACGTTGGGGCACCGGGAGCGGGAGGACGGGATCCTGCGGCGAGCGGTGGGCGAGCACCAGGTAACCGCGGCGCAGGCTGGCTTGGGAAAGGAGGTTGCGTGGAGACGGGCGATCATTGTAGTAGTAGGTGTTGGTGTTGTTGGTATCGGAGTGAGCTCGGTTGTTGGCTTGCGGAGGAGTGTCTTGGACGGATAAGCATTTTGAGACGAGGGAGGGAGGTTATATACGGCCGTGACAATGTCAGCTGTAATTTCTTGATGGTCTCGACGAGATTGGTCGACTCTTTTGCAAAGTTGCCTTTTGCGGAAGGTGTTTAGCTTTGACCACCCTGTCATCTTCCATTTCAATTGCTTTTCTATTCATTCAAGCCGAGTCGGGTCCTGACTCCATCCTCCCATCGTCTGCAATACTTATTATGGCTAGTCTAAATTTATTGTCCCCCACCCAGATATTGAATTTCAAAACATGATTTCAACAGATGTACAACAGATGTACATACTTATTGCGCAAAGTATTATCGCATCAATGCTTTGACCAGCTTGGGATAGCTTGGGATCCTCATGGACGATAATATTAATCAAAATTTTCCTAAAAGGGCAAAGAACCATTTTTGGTATTTACGCCGTCAAGTTCTACAGCCTTTTACACAGTATTACTGGTACGCCTCACCAATAGAAGTACTTGTTCGTATACTCAGGTGTAACCAAAGTCGACCTTCAAGAATGCTGCTTGCACGAAATTTGTAAAAGATTCCTGGAAGAGCAATTCTCTCAACACTTCTCTCAGTCCATCAACCGGTAGACAAAATCTATTGTCCAAGAGAACTCAGGTTCGCAGAAATATCAATGACAGAAGTACTAAGCAGTGGTTGCGATGTACTTACACTCATTGTCAGAAGCATGCCAGTCGAAAACAATGAGATTGTAAACAATAACCCCAAAAACCGATGGATACATTTCGAACGAAATAATGGGAAAGAACGACAATATTTACAACAGACCACAACCGATTCTCTCTTGCAGCTCTCACGAAAGGAACGACTTCTCCTATTCACTCAGATCCTTGAAGCCTCAAGCGCATCCCTGATCCTGTGCTCCCAATACCTACTCACATTCATCAGGGACTCCCTCACAATAAAAAACCCAAGAAACAAAACTCACTTCTTGCGAATCACATCATGTGTATTAGCGAGCGAAGTCCACAGCTAAATCATCAAACACATCAGCAAAATAGCCGCCAACTCAACAAGGACCTACGAACCTCAATCGCCTCCAACGTATTCTTCTCCTGCTCATAAACATCCGCCAAAAACTCAATAGCGGACGGACAAGGCAAGTTGGCTCCTTTAGTCGGGGGCGGGTTCTCCAAATCCACGATATCAACGGAGGCCGGGTCGATAGGGAGCGTGTAGGGCCGCACGAAAGCCTTCACGCTAGCAAACGGCGTCTTCGTGTGTTCCATGATCCCACGGAGGTAGTTCCATGCAGAGAGGTTGTTTGGCGCAAGTGAGATGTTCTGTTTCACGTACCTGCCACACATTCAATTCGTGAAACGGGATGGGGAAGAAGGAAAGAAAGAAGAAGAGAAACGTACGTCAACTCCCGCTTATACACCCTCCCCCTATCCTCCTCCCCCTCCCTAACACCACACCCCCAAACGACAAAGAAACGATGATGCCACGCTGAATTGTTCCTAACATCCTGCGCCAGCATCGCATCCACGAAATCCAGCTCGCCCGTCCACAGTTCATCTTCATCGTTGAAATAAGCCAGCAGCCATTGGCGATAGGACCATGTATGGTAGTTCTTCGTGTCCGCCGTTAACGAGCGCGTGATGAAATCTAGTTCTTGTAACGGCTTGCGGGTGATGGTTAGTAAGAGACGGCGGTGGTGCCAGACTTGGTATGTCTTTAGGTACTTCACCGCGAGTTCGTCCATTAGTTTGAGTTCGACGTCAAGGGGCGCGTTGATGGATAGTAGAGTTTCGTATCGATATTGCCTGTACACCATACCATATCAATGAACATCTCATCCCCGGAGAAAAGCAAAACACACCAAGCAGAGTAATGAGCAGGATTAAGCCTGATAACGGCTTCAGTAAGCTCGAGCACCCTCTGGCTCTTCTCCCCAATCTTCACGATCCCGCGGAAATAATTCGTCGCGTCTTTATCTGCCACACACCATCATCTAACCCCTCAAGATAGACTGTCTAAAAGAGCACTCACATACGGGCGAATACAAGATCGGCGCTAGCGGGTTCACGCCCTCGTATTGTTCCAGTGGTGCAACGTCCGCCCATTCAGGTCGTTCAGCGAACAGCGGGATGACGGGTTCTTCTTTTTCTTCTTGGAGTGGTGGGACTGGGACTGGGGTTGAGGTAGACATGGCGATTGGTCTCCTACGGTCGTGCCAGCGGTGGCTAAGGTACAGTGGGTGGGTTGTCTCAGAGAACAAAAAGAGAATTTATGAACAATGGCCACCCGAGGGGCATGATCGCGGCATATGGTCAGTGACTCTCAAGTGCCATCACCATCGCGGCTCGTCGTTCGAAATATTGAACCTCATTTCAGCGATCCTGCTCGAGATCTGCGACCCTGGTTGTGATATGACAACACTATCGAACACACACTGACTCGACCTCATTCATTATTTCATAGCTGCCATTTCAATTTAGTAGTCATACCGAATACAAGCAGGGGTGAAATATGGATATTTATAAAACGCAGTGGTCGAGATAACGAAACATATATAGCAAATGAAAAGTTCAGGCCAATTCACGCACGCTGCAGCCAACCAACTTCAAGGCCAGTCATCATGCGCAACCGTTCCGGGTATGCGGTATTACTCTGCTTCAAAAATCCAGCGAGGCGACGACAGATAGACATCGGGTATGAGAGATATTCAGCTTGAGGGAATCCTGGGTATTTATTGAGGAGGCTGGAAAGGGTTTCAATACTATGAGATCGTTATATTGAGAAGATTAGTACCTTTTCAAATCTACATTCGCATCAGACGGTGAGATGAGTTTATAAAGGACCTTCGCGGCCACAATTGAAGCACTCTTGGGGATCGCGCGGGACGTGGGCGTGGTATAGGCGAGGCGGATGCGCGGTTTGAATAACCACATCTGGAGGGGGGACAATAATAAACCGATGTGATCCATTAACCAAACACCAGGCAGGACTCACAAGGATTCGCGGCCGTTCTTCCTCCTCATCGCTGATGATGAACCGATACGAAGCATGAGCTTGAACAAATTCAGTCATATCTTCCACGATGAATGCAGACAGTGGTATCTTTAAACACCTGGATGCGTGTTAGAGTGAGCCATGCGGCAGAGAAGGGGCAACTAACTCGGCTGTCGAGCTGACAGGACGGACTGCGTATTTGAGGACTCGGTAGGCCGTACGAACGTCGCCTTCTTCTGAAGGTTTCTCTTGATATCTCCCAAAGACAGCACCGCATAGACACCGTGCAAGGTGCCAGTTATCTTCGCGCTATAGATAGGTGGCATTAGCAAACTAAATAAGAGACAGAGAGAAGAAGAAAGGATGTGTCCTCAAGCGTAGCTCTCACGACGGAAGCCTCTATATACATGAGGGTTGTTTGAGCGAGGAAATAGAATCAATCTTGGACGCGTTGTATCAACCGGTATGCTGATCCATCCACGCACATCCACAAGCTAGCCAAAGAGCCCCGACAAAACCCGGAACCTGCCAGGGGCTTCGAGTCTGCCAAGACAATAGCATCGCAAGGGGCATACAATGGACACATCAGTCGCTGGTAGATAACCAACGCCAGTCTTCTTTGTCGTCCGACATACAATTAAGTATGAAGCGAAGTAATGTAGGACGTACCGAGGCTTCTTTCGCGAGGTATAGGTTGTTTGTGGACATCGCGGAGTTATCGAACAAGATATAGCTTCCTCCTACGAGTGCCTGACCTGGAGCCGGCCAAAACCCAGTTTTGCCAGTTTTAACCACTTGCTCGTGAAGGGACTGGTCGGTATGACACATCCAGGCCTCGACTAGCTCTTCCCAATGTTCCGACGGTAGATCGCGATAGTGGTCGATCTTTGTGGATTGAATGAGAGGTAGGGAACATGAGGCACAAATGAAAGATGTGGGATTCATCGACGAAAGGTGGGAAGCATCAAGCAGGGGTGTTGGTGATTCTGCAGTATCAGAGGACGATGATGAGGGTAAAGTCGAAAGTCTGATCTCGTAGTGTCCACTCTGAACCTGAATTTCTTTCTTCCCTGGGGTCGTCCGAGCAGGGAGCATGAGCGGAAGCGAGCAGTAGGGGCCGGATTTGATGAGGAGATGATCTCCTCCCTCTGAAGGATGCTCAGGGAATGGGGGTAATACTTCGGCTTCCAAGTCAACGCCAGGGTATCCGCCAGTCACCGTGAAGAAAACGAGAACATGTTGCAAGTTTTCGTGGTTCTCCGCAACGTATACGACATCAAAGGCTAGAATATGAATGTCAGTCGTAAACCTTGAGAGGGGCGAGAAATTTACGGACAGGTACTTTGATCTCCGAACTTTGGCTGCAACTGAACACTGGAGATACCAGAGCTGCTACCCTGGCTTGAATTAGACTTCGAGGATGACAATGGTCGCAGCCAAGATAATGGAGGCGCAGATAAGCTTCGACTCCTGCTCTTCTTCGATTTGGTAGTTGGTATAGGAGGAAGCGTGATTTCGTCCTGCCTAACTGGAGGCAGCTCTTTCACGAACTCTGGTAAAGTCAGAAGAGTTTCTGGATCCTTCAGTCGTTCAGAGTTTGGGGGTAAGCCCTCTCGAATAAATTCAGGAAGACTTAGAAGAGCCTCTGGATCTTTGACACGAGGATGCAGTATCGCGTCTTGGCCGTAAATTCGACCAGCACCCGAGTGTCGAACCAATTGTTCAACAAACGCGTCCCTCTATAAGAAAAACGCATCAGATCGGGAATCAGAAGCATTGGATCATCAATGCATCACTGACCTTGGCTACATCACGAAGTTTCGCCTTCTCTAGTCTGCTCTGCATGCCACCATCAAGAATAACGGATTGACCCTTGAGGGACCTATCCGAAGCTTTCCCGAGAAGGTCAAGAATGTTCTCCAGCTCCTTCACGTCCCTTTCCTTTCCTTTGCTACTTCGCGAAACGCCTTGTTGTCGAGCTTTCTCCATCTGAACGAGCTTCGAAGATTTGAGCTCGACTCGCTGATTGTGAAGCTGCGGCGCAACAAGGTAGAGTCTGTCAATCGCCATCGCAACGGCCTCTAGATCTAACCGCATCTTCTCGTCGCTCTGCCGTGTGCTAGACGAAGGCTGGTATTGTGCCGTCTTACCCTTGCCGTCATCTATTGAGCTACGACCGCCAGGCTCGTAAATGGGCGGACTTTCCAAATCAAAGTCCTCATAGTCATATTGAGGGGGAAGATTATCTTGGAAAAATCTCGGAAGATTCTCCGTATGCTCTTTGCACATTGAGACTACGGTTTCGAGCTCTTGATCGATTCTTGTCCATAACAGGGAGACTTCGACCTCAAGGGTGGTAGGTATGCCCGGAGTGGACATTCCACCCTGAGAGACAAGACGTTCTGTCTGCAACTCATTAAGCTGACGCTTGAGTGCGTCAAAATGATCAATTGGAGGGGGCTCGTCGTATTGGCGGGAAGACTCTGGCTCGGGCGTTTCAAGAGTGGTTAGGTGCATGCCTGATTGAATAACAGAGTCTGTTGAGGTTTGACAGTAATGAGACGAGAGATTTCGCAAGAATCGCTTCACTAGGCTGCAAAGAAGATGAGATTGATTTCACCCGTGTCTTAAGCTCATTGATAAGATCAGAATCATTGTCGGAATCACGGGCCTCGATCATTTCATCGTCCCCGCCACGATTTCGAAGATTGATGACAAGGGTATGCAAGGCAGAAGATGATGATTCAGCCTCGCCTTGTGGAAATGTGGTATTGTGTGGGCTGGATGGCATGGAGTGTCGACGGTCGGGAACAATGGGATTCCACCCCGTTGGGACGGATGACAAGTTGTTTAATGTCATCAAGCACGACCTTTGAACCAACGCAATTGAAGGCATTACGTCGCCCTTCACAAAATGAGTGAAACTTCGGAGTGAAATCTTCGCAACTCATAGGTATGCCACGCGAGTCGCTGTCGGACTCTGCAGCTTGTGGAGGTTCTGCCACTTGCTCTTCAGACGAAACAAAAAAATCCTCCGAAACGAAAGAGTCATCGGCCTGCAATTGTCGAAGCTGTTCATGAGGAAAAGGCGAGGGAACATGGGTAGACAGCAGTGGACTTGATCTTGTGTGTATGGGCGCCTTCGGACGAGTGACGGTGGCCATTGCGTAGAAGATCGCAAACTGGTGGGCGTTTGTAAGGATGTTTCAGAGAAACGCACAAGGAACGAGGCGACCTACGAGGGGGTGTTCCTTATGCACTTGATAACTGTTTCAGGCCACCTCAACAACAAGAGCAGCGAGTGCGTCTGGAGCGAGGAACCACGTGGATGTGAACGAAGGACTCCAGCCCCAACTTCAATGGTTGTACTCAGTAAATAGCAAAGGTCCCGAAATTGTCACGAGATGGTCAGCGAAATTGAATGATTGACTACCTGTCGACTTATCGACATTCTAAAAACTGTTCACTGACTTGACAGTCATTGTTGAAGTCAGTTGATGGTCATCACTTCAAAGGGTTTTGCGTTCAATGTACTGGGTATTAAAAGAAAGCCAAACAAAGAAAAGAAATAAAATAGAAAGAATCTGCTCAAATATTCTCAACATCATATTGTGTCCAGATTTTTTCACAAAACATGGCTTGAGTGCTTTTAGAGGTAACGCTGCTCGGAGTTGGCCAAATTTTTCGTTGCGCGCGAAGCACGCAGATGAAAGAGTCAGGTGGCAGCACAACAAACCAAGATCACCGGATTCTCTCAACAAATCTCTCTAGAACCTTGTTAACAGAACCTACGGCATCTCTTCGAGCTTCAAATTTTCTTTTTAAGTCAAGAATTGTTTGTGTGCCGTCAATGACGGCTTCCGGGAATTCTGGTCCAGCGTTGCCGTCACGTGCATGTGACTAATGGCAGATAACTTTTGGGGGTGGCAGATAACTTTGGCCTCGAATTCTCTGCATTGGCCACATGAAACTTTTGGCTCTCTGAGGGTAAATCATAGCTTACAACTGTGAATATGTACATGTCTAAGTTCAGCAGCGGAGGTATTGTATCCATTGAGAAACATGTAAACTACAAAACTTCGGGCTTTGCCGGGCAGATAACTGGCAGATAAATACCCAGTACAATGATCAGTAAGCCCTTCAAAGTCATTAATGAGAACGGTCAGCATGTTGGTCATCGGTTAGTCACTCCATTGAAATAGTAAAAAAACATGTATTTGACATAGTAAAGATTATATATGGCACATTGATCTCTTTGTAAGGGAACTAGCAGGCCGTTCTACCTAACACACAGGAGGAGACAGTTCGTTGAGAGAAGATGGAGGCCTTTTGTCAAGAGAGGAAGGCCGTTCATCGAGGGAGGGAGGAGACAGTTCGTCGAGTGAGGGAGGAGACCGTTCTTTGAGGGAGGGAGAAGACCGTTCATCGAGGGAGAGAGAAGACCGTTCGTCAGGAGAGGGAGAGGGCCATTTTACCTAACACGCAGGAGGAGGCCGTTCATCGAGAGACCATCCGTCGAGGGAGGCCGTTCGTTGTGGGAGGGGGGAGACCATTCGTCGAAGGCAGAGACAGGCCATTTGCACTAGTAGCTGCCATTTACATCATGTAAAACCTGGCATGTACCATAGAAGTTCCTGCTTAACTACCGTGAATGAAATGAAATGAATTTTCATTCATTCACGGCACCTGTTTCATTCCAAGTCATTCTCATTCATTGCCATCGAGAATGAAATACTTTTTGTTTCATTTCAATTTTTTCTTCATTTCTACTGACAAGAATGAAATTTATTCTGTTTCATTCATGCCTGGCGACTCTTTCATTTTTTTTATTTCATTCCACCATGGCAACTGTTTCATTTTTTTGCTTTATTCTTTCGTTTCATTCATTCCTGGCAACTGTTTCATTTTTTTCATTCATTCATTGCCATGGAATTTTCATTTCATTCTTTCCAGGCAGTTATTTCATTTTTGTTTCATTCTTTCAGGCAACAATTTCGATGTTTTAACACACATCTAAATAAGGAAATAATATACAATTATGCCTGATATGTGTTGTGCCCTACTGCAGTGGTGTGGGAGGCCATATGGGGGTACTTTTGCATTTGAGGCTCAAATACACAATGAGATAGGCATGCTGTTGCCAAATAAGGCACTTAAATATTTTGTATCAATTACATAATCACTAACAATGAAATAGGCACCTGAGAAGAATGAAGCAAGGAATGAAACAGTTGCCCTGGTGGAATGAAAGAAAAAAATGAAACAGTCACCAGGAATGAATGAAACAGCATAAATTATCTAGAATGAAACAGGTGCCGTGAATGAATGAAAATTCATTTCATTTCATTCACGGTAGCTAAGCAGGAACTTCTATGGTACAGCTCAGCAGTACATGATGTAAGTGGTAGCTACCAGTCCCATTTGTCAGGAGGAAGCCATTCATGGGGGGGAGGCCTTTCGTCGGGAGGAGGCCTGTTGTCAGGAGGAGGCTGTTCGTCAGGATGAGGCCGTTTGTCGAGAGAGGCATTTGTCAGGGAAGGGAGAAGACCATTCGTTGAGAGAGAGGAGACCGTTTGTTGAGGGAGGTACAAAGCCATTCATTGAGGGAAAACTCTTCGTTGAAAGACGCGGCCGTTCGTCGATGTGGTGGGAAGGAAGAACAACTTGTGAATTTCCATTGATTTCCGCGTTGGTGGTTGCATGATGTCGGAGTTTAAACGGACTTGAACGAATTTTTGGGTCTTGTTGCTGTGAGGGGTGTCACAGCTAACGAGGTATCAATAGACCAGAACTCCAAACGCTCCGCTCAGTGATTTTATTTACCTTTGGAGCTGGCCAAACAACTTCCCACAGCCAATTGGCAGGCATTGTCTTCCCCAAGGGGGTGGCGGAACATGGATCCCGGATATATGGTTGGGGGGAGGGGGGCTCCGCTAGGGGGTCGAAATATTTTTTGTGACCTATTTTAGAAAAGTCCTGCCAATAAGCCAAATAGCGCTGAGAGCCCAAAAAAACTCAACGAACTTTTTTCTAACGCCGCTCAGGTTCACAAAAAGTATGGCAAAGAAGTAAGTCCCTCTTTTATATATATATTCTAATCCAATACTGTATTACAGAAAAGCGTCGGGGTTTACGAGCGACAGCAAGCTTCATTGCCCAAAATATGAGAAATATATTCCTGTTGGAACAGGCGGCAAAGCAAATCTGCAGCGCACAGCGAGACGGAGGTGCAGCAAGATGTCGCTATGCGTGACGTGATCAATCTTGTCGATAGCGAGGATGCGGGCGCACACGTACCCGCGGTAAAAAACGACCGCAATTGGACCGAGGATGTCACGGCTGTGGGGAGGAAGTCAGTTTGGGGGCAGTGCTATTGAATGCAAAGGAGAGGGTTGCGAGACTCTCTGGGTACGTGAATCTTTTGGAGGTTATCAGTTTGTTTTGCAGCTTTTGCTGATCAACTTCATCTGGCACTTTAGTTTCACACGAAATGTGTGAAGGTTAGCCGTTCATCGAAGTTTTGGATGTGTCCGACTTGTATGGATATGGGGGTGAAGCGTCGTCGCACGTAGTAACTCCAAAAAAAATATGTTCTTGACATAGGAACTCGGAAGTTTCCTTTTTTGGGGGGGTAGAGGTGGGGGGGGGTAGGCCAAGGGCCCCCTAATTTGTAATGTGACTGTATATCTAAAATCCACGTTCCGCCACCCCCTTGGTCTTCCCACCCCTTCCCGCTGTTGTGTATATAGTCATAAATTCCTGGTTAGGTTGTTTGCTCGTACCCTGAGACTCCACAACTAAACAAAGTCACTAAGCGGAGCGTTTTGAATTCTGGTCTATCAATACCTTGTTGGCTGCAAAAAAATGAGGGGGAACTACACATAGGTATGACTAGCATATGGCTGAGCTACGACTACAAGAATAACAGTCTGTGATTCCATAAAAATGCATGACTTTTTACTCACTGTCTCGGGACTTTTTGTTGACCTTGTCTGACTCTGCTTTTTACTGAGGGTTGTAGATGACGGTCAATGTAACTGTCTCCTGTAGTTAGAAAAAAAATTGGCAGTCCAGCAAAGCAGTTAGTAATGGTGGAATTTGGATTGGTCAAGATCGTAATTACGCACCATTGCAATATAAAGACGCTCACTGACACAAATTTGTTGAAGCTCCCAAAGTAGCCAGTTGAGCTTGCAAAAATGCTCAGAGTGATGAGAGTAGCTGGTTGTTGTGCAGAATGTTGGCAGAATGACCTCGTCCAAATTTGGTCCTTGGCTTTGCGATATGGCCACATGATGCAATGTAGGTTGCCGAATACAGCCAACACTTGGCCACAACCCTTCATCAAAAGGTTGCAAGCAGCATGTCCGGCCTCCCAGAAATTGTTCCGAACTTCCAAGCTTCTCTAGTGTGCACCCTTGGCCACACCACTCAGCCCCCTCTTTCATGTCCAACAATTTTTTACCTTGACAACTACCACAAATCTGATCCAGTTCAGATATACATCCTCCTTTTCACAGCTGCGCCAAGCTTGCTGTTAAAAGGATCTTGAACCCTGATACTCACATTTTCTCACTAAAATGACACTCAACAAAATTCCTGCCGAGATACCAGACTCCTTCCCAGATTTCCCTGGGCCCCCTCTCAGGCTGCTCATCAGTCCTCTAGTTGCAGAGAAACAATACTTAGTCTCGTTGAGATGCTTCTGCAAGAATCTGACAGCCAAAGAATAAGTAAGTCTTTTCTCTATTCAATTTCTACCCCAACAACCCAGTTTCGAGGAACACAGAGACGTCTGTACATGTGAATCCTGCAAATCCCACAGAACCCGCTTGATTGACATCATAATTCAGCTAGCATGGATGAGCACCATCAGGCTGTGGGAGCAGAAGCATTTCATAAGTTTGAAAGGTTTGTTCATTGTGTCTCATGATGCTGAAAGTCTCACAAAATGTTTGCACGGTAGGAGCATCAGTAACCTTAATAAAGAGGCAGGCCCAGATCTCCATTTTGTTGTCTTTATTTAATTTACCTTAACAGCTTTGAACTTTGCCAATGCCGCTTGTCAAATGGGAAGCTCTGTTGCGATTATTTCTTCTGCTTACCGACTTCGAGAATGTCTGGCTCAAATTCTTTACCTCTATCAGGAGAACACTGCTGACCTTTTTCCAAAAAAAATTGCGCACATTTCTCATGAATCAATTATGGAATTTCGTGCACCAGAACGATGCACAAGGCATGGTAGGCGAAGAAGGGGAAAAGCACCCTTACACGTTCTGAGGCCTGCTGTGACCGAACATTTGGACCTGGAGTGTTTTTCTGGACAGCTGGAGGCCTTGGCCAGGGAGGTGACAGCATTTTTGGATACCTTAAATGAGTTTCTGGAGTTTCCGGACAAAGCTGTCAATGCTTCGATCTTGTCATTTGAAGGTGATCTAAAGGTTTATGGTGCTGATTTTTCCTTTTCTTCTGTGAAAACAACTTCTCTACTGCTACATTGTACTGGTTGTCTTGCCTCAAGGAATATGCAGGCCAATTCCGATACCCCGCAGTGCAACAAATAATACAATACATATATGATCTCACTGATGAAATGGGTGAGCATATTGATGGCATAACTTCATCTCTCTGCATGTTCATTGATGTTGGTAAGCCCCTTTGCCTTCACTCTGCACATCTATTGTGATCACTGATGCCATGCAGGTGTTCCAATTATTTGGTTTGTGCAGAAACATGGCACAAACAGTTTATTGAATTTGTCAACAGTTGCCACCTTCTTCTTGGCAGTGACTGCTATGACTGGCATTGACTATGCAGTTTTCTTACCAGCTGGAACACAACACTGTCTCTGATGCTGTCAACTCTATGTGGTTTGCATCAATGGTCTTTAGCATTGCAGCAGCTGTTAATAGCCTCCTGGGGCTCACATGGAAACAAGCAATGTAGTGAGTCCATTTTGCCACCCAGCCTGAATGAGATCTTTGGTTGCTTTCCAGGCCCATGTTAGCTGCTCACCAGGGGATCAGGTGCCCTGGTGGGTTTTGATTTGGATTAAATGATCTCCCCTCATGTTCCTTGTCCTGTCAGTTGCCTGTTTCTCCATTGGACTCTGCTGTTTTGCTTATGCTTCACATCAGATAAGCATTACTGTTATACTGATTTTAACTCTTCTCAATCAACATTTGATGGCTTTGCAGTCCTTCATAACAGCTACTCTCACAACTGTGCTTACTACCATTACCTCATTCAGCCTCACAGCTGTCTCTGCATGGTTTGCATTAGAACACTGGACATTCACTTGACATTGTGGCTAGAAATGGCTCAGTGATGTGCTTATTGAGAGCATAGAACAGTTTGTGCAGACCCCAGTGGTGGGCTGGATTCAAATGGTCATTAAATTTCTGAGTCACAACATTGAGAAGATCTGGGCAGTGCTCTTGTCACTCTACAAATGGCTCAGGAACATTTGCTCCTTGAGCAAATTAGACAATGAAGGCAACAATTTGGAAGCTAATGGTGTGCCTACTACTAGCAACAGCAGCCCTAATCATCTTCCCTCCCACTTGGAGCCATCAAACCCTAACTTAGGATGTCTAGCATTTCTGTGCCAGAGTTGACAGAATCCCTGAAGCCCACCCACATCATACCACCATCTGCACCTCTAAACCCCCCCATGGAGAAAGACAGCCCCTCACCTGAAGCATCCCCAATTAGCCCCAGGAAGCAGTTGTGGCAAAAGGCCTTCCAAAACATGAAGATGCAGAATCGCCTGGCTGCCTTAACATCTGCCTTGAGAGACACAGCTCAACCATACAGGTGAAGGACAACATCTTCTGGTCATCCTGGACCTTATGACAGGAAGAAGGCCATCATTGAGCCTGTCACTGTTCTCAAATCCTGTATATCAACATTGGCACCAAAGCTTGCAGCTCTAGAAGCTACTCAAGATTTAGCTGCACACAACACACTTGTGCATCACCTAGAGTTCTCTCCTGATGGGACATTCTTAGCCTCCTCAAGGTGAGGTTCACTCAAGTGTTTGATGATTATGATCAATAACTGATTGTTTTTCTTAAAGCTGGGATAAGACTTCAACATTCTTCTGAGTTGGTGTGCATTTTCTTTCAATCCATCTTTGCAGCAAGTATCTGATTCCAATCTGCCTGTCAGAACCCTTTTATCTCCCACTGTACCCTTGCACACCTGCAGGGCTTTGTCAGCCATTCATTTCATCATGTTGACTTGGAATTATCTTACCTGCTTCAGGTCTCCAACATGAAACTCATTGTTGATGAAAATGGCACAAGGTATCAATGTATGGACTGAGGTAGGTTGACAAAGGCACTATAACAGATCTTGTCGACATTCTCACCTTTGAGCTGTTGTATAACAGGATAGGGTCTGTGGAGGTCTTTACCCTCCCCCACGTAATCCATATGGACTCCAGTGGACTCCAGTGGATTCCAGTGGCCCTCTTACCAGGCCAGATTGGCTGGCAGAATGCCCAGTCCACTGGAGTCCAGTCCAGTCCAGTCCAGTCCAGTCCACTGGACTCCCACTGGACTGCCAGCCACTTTCCTGAGTCCAGTCCCAGTCCAGTGGACTATGAGTCCAGTCAGAGTCCAGTGGAGTCCAGTGGATTCCAGTGGATTCCAGTCATTCCAGTATATTATTATTATTATATATGAATATAACTAAAAAAGCGAAAATGGACTACACAATAGACAAGCTATACCTACAATTTTATTAATCAATGAATGGAAAGATTATAATTTACATATGGTGTGGGTCAGTGATAGCTGCAATAAGGATTCATGATTTTGTTCAGTCTGCGGGGTGAGGTCACGTGACTTACTTGAGGGCGTGCCATATCGTTACGTTGCCTGTTTGTGGGATGGTCGCACTGCCGTGACCATCCCTTTCCCTTCCACCACCACCACCATTCACATCTCAACGCCACCGACGACGCCCACACCCACGCTAACGATGCACACGACGCCCACGCCCACGCCCATGCTAATGACGCACACGACGCCCACACTAACGACAACGACACCCCCAGCGCGGAACGATAGACCAAGGACGAGGGACAACGCCCATGACGTGGCAACGTCATGGGCAAGGGGTACGTATGCCCCACCACCCCGTTCCTCCGTTCTCACCACGACAGGCATGACGCCAGCAACCACCCCGTTCCTCTGTTCTCACCACGACAGGCACGACGCCAGCAACCACCCATGCACGGCACATGAGGACGGCGACAACGACGACACGTGAGCACGACGACAACACGCAAGCACAACGAAACGCAAGCACGACGACACACAAGCACAATGACGACAACACACGAAGCCGACCACACGAACGAGCGCCCACGGAAAACAGCCACCGCCCACCACCGCCTGCTGCCACGTCACACGAAAACCAGCCACTGCCCATGAAAAACGACCCCCGCCCACAAAAACGATGACGACACGCGAGGACGACGACACACGACAACGACGACAACGACTACACGCCGGGACAACGACACACGACAACGACACGCGACGACAACGACAACGACACGCCGGGACGACGACACATGACAACGACGACAAACGAGCGCCGACGAAAATGCCGCCCCCACCACACCCGAAAAATTATACACCCACAAAAAACGACGAGCGCCCGCCAGCACTGAACGGCGACGAGGGCCCAGCAGCATCACCCTTCCCCTCCACTCTCTCCCCCCATCACTACCTCCGCTCTTCACCACTCCCACTCCCCTCCACTCCCTCCCCCCTTCACACTCTCCCCCCTTCAGTCTCTCCCCCTTTCCCCCCTCCCCATTTCCCCCTCCCCTTTCCTTGCTCCTCTCTCCCCCCCTCCCTTTCCTTCCCCCTTCCTTGCTCCCTCCCCCCTCTATTCATTCCTCTCTTCCTCCTCCCTTTGCCTTTCCCTTTCCCCTCCCTTTCCCTTTCCATTCCCCCTCCCTCCCCCCTCTGTAACATAGAATTTATGTAAATTTAATTAATTTAATTAATGAATATACTTCAATTTTATTTTTTGTTTTGAAGAGGAATTCTGGATTAACTTAAGTCTGTGGCAGTCCAGTCCAGTCCAGTTTTGTGATTTGCAGTCCAGTCCAGTCCAGTCCAGTCCAGTTTTGTGCTTGCAGTCCAGTGGAGTCCAGTGGAGTCCAGTTTTGTGCTGGGAGTCCAGATTTGTGGATATTGCCAGTATGTAGTGAAGTCCAGTGGAATCCAGTGGAATCCAGTGGAGTCCATGTGGATTATGTGGGGGATGGTAAAGTACTGGGTCTGTGTGAAAACTATGGTGAGTTTTTCTCTGAGTTTTGTTTACAATGTGTTCTCAAGTAACCTTGACATCTAGAATACTAATAGCAAAGTTTGTCCATTTTTCAGCTCCAGGTCTGCATTTTCACTGACCTTCTCTACTTATGTCAGGTATTAGATGATTATGATTTTGGCCACATGAAAGTTCATGATGTTGCAATTATGCCGGATTCCCTTCAAGTGTTGGGCATGAGACAAAGGAAAGAAGTGAAAATGCTCAATTTTTTCTGAGTGTGTTATAGATATAATGCATTTCTAATTTTGCCCTACTGCCATCATTTATGCAAATGGCTGTAAAATGAAAAAGCATAGAAATACTATAAATTTAGTGCACATACAGGTTAAAATGCAAGGAATTGTCCCACATTGACCAGTTGTTCAACTTCCAGTAGCATTTTGATAGACTATCTATCAAGAAGATAGGCTGTACTCTATTCTGTTTCAACACACTGACTCATGGTTATCATTAAAGAGAGGTCTATCTTTTTGTTGTGCAGAACAATCCATTGAGAATTTTGATTTTATCAAGTCCACAATGCTGTAGGGTGGTATTCTCAGCAACCAGTACTTCACCTACCCCTCAATAAGAAGAAACTGAAACTGAGCAGCAGTGTATACATCACTCAATTATAGAGATGTTGGAGAAATCATAGGTATAGAGGATGTATCAACCACTAAAAGGAATGGAGATGGTGAATAAGAAGGAATAGAGCAGAAAACTACACATACAAAACTTGACATTTTGCACAAAAACAAGCCTATTAGGAGTTGGATAGTGTTGTCTCTTTCTATACATTGAAGATGAATATCAGGTGAGAAGTGAAAGCAAGAAAGAAAGAAAGAAAGCTTACCCTCTAAAAATAGGAGAATCTATGAAAGATTCTAAGATGATAAAAAAGGAGTTGACTTGCCCACTATATCTAAAATAAGGGATCCAGTGAAATAATGCAGATAAATTCATACTTTCTAATAAAAGGAAGAGTTGAAAGTGGAAAGCTGGAAACAGATTGAAGACATACAAGCTACAAAACATGAGCATTCTTGTATAACAGGAAGTAAAAACATACAATCTGAGTCAAAAAAAGCATATATCAAAGAGATAGAAATGACAGTAAATAGGCAACCTACTGTCTAGAAGAAAGGAAAGCTGAGAGGTCATAAAATTGGTCTATTTGGTGCTGAAATTTTACTGACCTCCTTGAAAATTATTGATTGAGAATTAATTACCTGAGAAAGAACAATGATTGAATACATGTGGATTAAAAAATGAAGGCTAACAAATAAAACTTACAAGATATAAAGAAGAGACCACATACTTTCTATAAATGCAAGAAATGAGTGCAAGAAAGGGGTGAGTGGAATTGATTGGAATAAGAATATAGACAACACACTGACTGAAAAGGAAATGTCAAAAATGGATTACTCGAAACATATAAGTGAAAAACAAACAACTTACATACTAAGAAAGATAATGTGTGACAAGAGTAATTCATGA